ATATTTGCATAAGAAAATATTCTTAAATTTGGACCAATTCCTTTACTTTATTGTATTACACACTGTATAGGCACCATTATGGGTTACATTTCCCATAACTTGCTTGACTATTGATCAAATTGAGTAATTATTGAGGATTAATAACTACTAAAACAATAAAATAACTAAACTTTAATAGTAATATAATATCATGCTCCAATTAGTAAAGATGATGTAAAATCCCGTTCGTTTCTTTACGTGACTAAAGCAATTATACCAAAGAATGTTCTATAATTTGAATGTAATTCACTTAGTTGAGGTTAAAACCTTTCATATTCCCCTTTAATAAACATAAATTTCAGTTAAGCATACCCTGGGGCCTGTTATTTGCTATTTGTTGGTGTATTTTGTAAACAATTTAAAATTTCCTGCAGTTTGGAATTATTTTATATCCTAGACTCTTTAAATTATCGCATTAAGTCCTAGTCAGGTGACAAATGTATACTAAATATATTTCAAGATCACCTTTTTCAAAATAACTTTTTTTATAAATTTTAAATACATCAGTTAAAACACTTTATTGGTAGGTACTTTCAGACAATCTGACTATTAATTATGAAGATATTTTTTTCCAAATAGATCATAGATTTTAGGCAAATATGTAAATATGAATACTACAAATAAGGTTTTTCATTAACAAGCAATACCTAGACTTCATAATTACCGTTTTTGATTCTACTATAAGAAATGTATCAGAAAATGCATATTCCCTTATACAAAGTACAACAAAAATGATATTAACACTTTCCTCTTTACCTCTTGAAGCATTTAAGTTGTAACCCTTTTTGCTTTCTACATTTTTTCCAATGTCTGTTTTACATTTACCAGTTTTTGATCCATAACTTGGTCAAAAAATTTACCAAGTTATATTTGTTAATGTAATACAAAAATATTACTATCAGAAGAATATTTGGCTAGAATAAAGTATACCTAACTATTTGTTATTATTGTTAACCAGTTACTACTTTAACAACCTGTTCAGATATTAGTTAATTGACCACTATGTGACAGTTTTACTAAGATTTAAGAGAAACATACTTTTCTTAATATTAACTTCTAACCTCCAAAATTTAACTGAACTGAACTGATAGAGTAAGTAAATCAGAATTTGTGAAAACTTATTTTATCCGGAACCATTTGCGGGAATTTATTTTTTATATAGATCATGCGCTACTGAAGACTCTTGAGGGAAGAATTCCAAAATTCTAGGACCATATTGCTGGAATCTTCATTCGTCTGTGGTCACAAAAAATGTGCACCCTATACATTTTTTTCTACTATTTCGAATATTATATATCATATTGGAAATACTTCAGCTAGTAACAAAAACACAGCATTTGATTTTTTTGCTACAATTTCTGCAACTTTAAAATTAACAATAGAATTGTGGTAAAAAAATTTTTAATCAGCTTTTCGTTATTATTTTAACAGTGTAAACAAATCAAACTAATATTGTTTGTATTATATCAGTTCCATATTAATAATATCACAATTCCTTAACTGTAATTATACAGGGTGATTTTGAATAGAGTAGCACAAACGCTACCAGTGCATCTAGATGAAAAAATAAGGCGAATGAACTAAATATACCTTAGACAAAAGTTGCACTCCTGAGGAATTACAGGGTCTTGAATGTTGTAGAGCCAACCAATATTTCCTTCAATTTATCTTGAATGATGTGGCGTAAATCGTTTATATTTGGTACAGACATTTGTCCAGTGTGGACACATACTTTCTATTAATATTGTTTAAATATATCCACCAGAGGCTAAACTAAACATAAACATTTTTTCGATAAACGCGATAGTTTTTTTAGATAATTTACGAAAAACAAACTTCGGAAATTTTACAGCGCCAATGGTTACAGTCAGGTTGCAGTAATACAAAAACATCAACGCACCACTCATTAATAGCTAAAGGTAAACGCTTTTCTGGTAAAGTAATTTTAATAAATTTATTTTGAAGGAACAGTATTTGTAAGTATTCGTTATGTAACAAATCAAGTTATTTTAAGTGTCTAATTTAAATAATAAATTTTAATTTAAAACTACCTACTGTAATCCCGAATGTAATACTAAGGAACATAACGTTATTTTAAAGTAAAAAGTTTCTAAAGAATATTTTCAAAGTAGTTCCCATTTTTCTGTAAACACAATCTAACACGACGATTAAAATTATGACGTACTCTTGCAAATATTTCTGGTTCTAGTAAAAATTCAAAGATCACCCTGAATATTTACAAGTTTTGACACAGGACTTTTTTTAAGTGGTCACTCTGCCAAAACACATACAAATCGTAATTAAACACACTATATATTTTCTCTATTTTAATGCTGATACTTTTAATTTGAAAAGTTTCTTATGATTTTAAGTCCAAGAAACCAAAACAAGTTACATTAAGGCAAGTTAATACTATTATTCCTTAAATAGACATAAATACTTAGAAAGTTGTTAGCGCTAAGAGAAACAATTGCAATTTTACATCTAATCAAAATCACCTTCACCTTGCTAACACAATTTCCCTCGAAATCTGATTATTCTGTTTTTAAAAGCTTTAATAGAGTCTCCTCTATTGAGTGGTTCGCGATCAACCAGTACGAAAATCCTTAATAGTTGTAGCGGAAACAACATTTGATGTAATTTGATTAGGGTTGTTTTTACTAAGTGGTTGCGTTCACTGTGGGTGGGAACTTCATCGGTTACGGTCTTATGCTTTTGCTACGCTGTTTCGTTTTAAAACGTATCCTAATAGATTTATTAGAGATTTTTTATGATCAGCCATCTGCTATCGATGTCCTCTGTTGGGGATGCTTGTTGATTGCTTTAGGACAGGAAAAGGGTTGCTATAAAACAATTATCTAAAAATATATACTGCTTTCATATTGACACATACCTATACCTAGTTCTCTACAGGGGTGTCAACGATGACGTAACATACTTCATGGGGTGAACAGAGTAAACAAAATAAAGGGGAAATATTTTTACTAAAAGAATTACTTCGTAGAGTTTACCACAACTATTACATTTGCACGAATCATTTTTTTATTTATCTACATTTTTAATTTGTATAATGGACTCCATTAGCAAATTTGGATGTTTCTTGAAATATATAACTAAGACAAAATACACGAATAAGTGCACTTGAAATCTAATATTAGAAGAAAAAGGTTATATAAGTACTAAGTACTATTACTGTACACAATTTTGTGAAGAGTTTCGGGACTATATATTTTTTCTTTGTTTTCATCTGAAAGTCCCGTTAAAGTTTGTGCACTTCCTGGTGAAACACCCTATATACATGTACGAATATTTCTACACATTTAAATAGATCGTTTATTATACAATTATCAATATATCTTCGTAATTAACCAAGAAATACGAAAGCTAAATACTTTTGTCAAGGTTTACAGAAGGCGAATTGACCCTTATGATTTAAAATAATAATTATTATTATCCTTTATTATAAACGTACATTTCTATTCGTATTACCTTGTGCTTTGTTAATATAATTTTAATGTTAAGTTGATTAGAACAGGAACTAAATCTAATTAAATTTACTAAATAATTGACAGTAAATTAAAATGCAATTAAATGTAGCAGAATTGTGTTTGTTTAAGGCTTTAGTTTATATGTCTGTTTCAAAATAAGACAATTTCCTTTCTATGTAAGACAAATTAAAATATGAATATTTCTGTTAACTGTTAACTATGAAACTATTGGACGTTATAGCAAAGAATAATAGAAATTAGTTTTAACAATATATAGATCTATGACCAAAATCATTAAAATACTGGAATGAAATATTATAAAAATGCTGTCAATCTACATATATTTTTTAAAAGAATATCGTGTTAGTAATTCTATTCGAATATTGACAAGACTAGGTATATCAAAGGTAGAAATAAAATTATAACAAACTCACGAAACAAATTTAGTCAGCGACAAATAATTTAATAAAAATTATTAAAAATTGGAGGTATTAATATTTAATAATATTACATATTAGTCCATGCGATAAAGCAGTAAAAGTAGACTTTGGCGTTTGTGTTTGAAGTCATCTATTTTGTTATACAAAAAAATCCCAAATATTATGGATTCTTAATCCGAGTTTGCCTATTCCAAAAAACCATTGCTAAATTCAGGAGAACAACAAATATACAAAAAGAACGAAAAATGACCCGTTTTTGACATATTTTTCCCTGTAACATTGAAAGTGAGCCCTAAATAAAAAAAGTCATTGTTTATTTAACGATTTTCTATAAAGTTTCAACAACTGCGAATCAAAAAAATTAAATATTAGATTAACAATGAGCGAATAATAGTAGAAAATCATATGTATATTTGGAGTAATTTTTTAAATAAGTAAATATTTATAAATATTAATGAAACTTGAACAAATAGTAAACAACATGCCAATTCCACCCTAAAAATTTTGCAACGATCGATAGCGTAATTTTCGATTGACAGGATTGTTAATTAAGTAAATTTCAAAAAGTTTCCGCCTACCGTTGGTTTAAATTAAGGTTTAAAAAGGGTACACAATTTTTTAGAGATACTTGTTGTCATAATAAACAATGATCAATACTAAAAATACCTATTTTTACACTTTTATAACCATTTAGAATTTTTTTAATTTTTCAACATTTTACTCTATGTCAGGAATTAATCTTACCAATTTCTGTCGAAACCAGTGCAGCTGAATGTGACAAAAAGTAGTATATTGTTTTTCATACGTGTAGTGAAAACAAATCACATTACATTGTCTACAAAACTAGTAGAACTAATAATTTTATAGGTCAAATAAAAATTTAGATTAGTTTTTGTCAATGCGAAGATTTAGTGATTAATTACTAATTACACAAAATAAGACGTTGGGCGGGATTAGAATAGCTATTAACAAGCAAGGTTGCATGGTACTATAAATGCTATGAGTTCCAGTTTTCAAATTCAGTTGTCTATAACAATTCATATAGTGAAAGTTGAAACATGACCACCTCAATAAAAGTACGTGTTGTTAAAAGATAGTTTGAAAAATAAGTGGCAATTGTTTTGTTACTAATTATAAAATTTAACCAAGTTTTCTTTTTTAGATAATCTGTCTATTCGTTGCAACGGTTTCTTATGCTGCTGTACTACCAGTTGACAATAAAGGTGAAAATGTTACACCTGTAATTGATTCTTCTACTCCAACAAAATCTGCTCCAGTACAGGACACCGCAGTTTCCACTACACCCGCGCCAGTCGTTTCTGAATCTGTTCCATCTGTTGTTCCTGAAAATACTCAATCTACTCCCGCTGAAACCTCAGCCGGTACGACTCTCGGTACTGAAAAATCTGTAACTGAAACCACCACGCAAACCGTTTCCAAAATTGCAGCTACGCCCATCACTGCAGAATCTTCCGCAGCTGAAACAACCGCATCGGATGGTAAACAAAACAAGGAAAGGGAGATAACATCAAACAAGGAGACTGATAAGGATACGTCTAAAACCTTGTCTGAAAATAAAGAAATTTCCACAACGGAAGAAAAATTAGAACCTTATCTTGGATGGCAACCATATGAATTTGCTCCAGTGTATGACGGAAAATACGACGACGATTATAATTTTTTTCATAGTGATTTTGATAATGATGAATAGAATGAAGTTTAATCAGAGGTAGGAACTGCATTTGTTTTTGCAAATAGACTGAATAGTTTAAATACATTATGTATTAATATTTTTATAGTAAATAAAACAAAATGAATTAATACTTCAACTTTTCCCATTTTTATTTTTACTTAAAATTTTTGTACTTAATAAACAGGTAAAAGTGTTGTAACAGAGTTTGATTGTAGATATATCTTTATTAACCAGAACTTTTGGTTTTAATTGCTGTGATTTAAATCTACTACATGCTGTATGCGAAGAAAATTGCTATGATATGTCCCATGACATTCGACGACAACTTCAGCAAATCAATATTAACTGTAATTGACTTATATCAGTATCGTTCAACCAATGGAAAATTTATATTTATATGGAAACGAATAAGACTATGTGAAATTTACTACGATTACCTTAATATTTTAACAAATCTATAACTAGGAATATAATCAACGGATACAATGAAACTTTGTACTGATAATGATGCGACCAAATCTTGATGTGTCGAAAGTGCCAAGTGACGATTTAGTATCTTCGTAATTATATGATAACTGTGTGTTTAGTACAATAAAATAAATCATATTTTTTGGGAGTTTTAAATATATGTAGTACATAATAATATTACATTATCATGTTTAACTTAATACAGTCATTTGGTGTTATAAAATTTAACTGATATAAAAAGGTACTTTTACATGAGATTAAATAATGTGCAGTGTGATTTTAGTATTGTATGAAAGAGCGGTAAATTAGAATTGTTAGCCATGAAAAAAGGCTGAACTACAGAGCCCATAAATATACAAAATCAACCAAACTCTATTGCGGCTAGAGACTATTAATACTTTCTCTACATGTACCCACCTGCAAAATAAATTTAATCTTGTGTTACTTGAAAATGTTTAAAGTTAATTCTAATAATCAATTTCTTGTAGTAAATACAAATAATTATATTAGACAAGAGGCATCATTCTGGACACAGTAATAGCTTAATTTTGATTTGTATTTCAGTTTTATATAAATTTTGCATATACTGAGAAAACTTTGATGTAATACTTATTACATAATGAAAATCATAAATAAATAATAATGTAAATGAGCATACAGGGTGTCAGGGGACCCGTATTTTTTATTTTTGCCAAATGGCCGCCTCTTGCGGAATTACAATCCCCTGAAATCTGCCCCTGAGAATAGCCTTTTTTATGTCTCAGAACCCTGTTGTACGAGAATAACTAAATTTGGTACTCAGGGGTTTTATGACATGTGGAATCTGATAGTGCTACGCTTTTTGTCGAGAAACCCCCTTAAGACACTTTTTAAAAAATTTAAATATACGACCAAATTTTTTTGGCTCCAAAGACAAGGGGGTCCACGAAAAATTGTCTTAAGGGGGTTCCCCGCCAAAAAACGTTGCACCATCAGATTCCACAAGTCATAAAACCCCTGTGTACCAAATTTGGTGCTTCTCGTACAACAGCGTTTTGAGATATAAAAAAAAGATTATTCTTAGGGACGGATTTCAGGGGGGCATAACTCCGAAAGAGGGAGGGGGCCACTTGGCAAAAATAAAAAATACGGGTCCCCTAAATTTGTCTTAAGAATCTGACCAAATTTTGTTGCATTCATTTCGGGACACCCTGTATAATCCATATTAATATAAGTCAACATGGCTTTACCATTAAGGCGATTTTGTTAGGTAAACTTGTATCATAAAATATAGTGACGCAGTCATAAGAACTGCGGTAGTAGAAGTGTCAAAGGCAAGACTCAAGAAATAGATAGAATTGATCTAAGTAGGTCAGCGGTCGGCAACTGGCAGACCACGGTCCAGATCCGGACCGCGGAAGGTAAAAAGCTGAACCGCCAAAAATTTTTTGAAAATATAATTACTCAAATTATTAAAAAAATATATTTTTCTATAGATAACAATACGTTTGCCACCCTTATTATTTTTTAATGATTAGTAGGTTAGTAAAAAAACTGACTCAAGACCGCAAATGTTGATTGATTGAATACAAATATGCCTATCTACTGTGTTTCATAGTATTTTGTGAGTGCAAATTAAAATAAAAATTTAGTAAGGAATACGATTTTTTTTCTTTATATATGATTCACGATTAGTTTAATTTTCAATGGTATACCCATATTTAGAATAATAATAACTGTGTTCGACGAACAATGAACAGAGTGTTGCAGTGGCTTAACAGTTATATCATTGAGAACAGGATACCATTTTCTCCATGTACAGGCTGATTCGCTATATTTTGACCTTTTGTATTTCACATTTTTTTACAACAAACTCTAAAAACAAAAAAGTTAAAGGGGGGTCAAAAAAGAATGAATCACCATATACGTTTATTATTTTAATGTTTAATGTAGGTATGTGTATTTTCATTTTTTTTTTCAAAATATGCATAATTATGTTTCAATTCTACATTTCCTGCATTTATGTTATCAGTACTAAATATGACGTGGATAATATTTATATACCAACTAATAAGTTTGTAAATATACAAATGCATATAAAATTGCATAGCTTATGAAGAAATTTAAAGAAAATAAAATTACACTAAGGTGATTTAGTCTACATCGGTTTATTTTCATTTAAGGAAGCTATACTTGAAGAGTGATATATTCACCTCCGGTCTACAATTAAGTCTTTGTCTAAAATATTATATTCATGGCACACTTTTCGGACGCATTTTCCTACTATAAGAGAAAAACTTATCAAATTTTGCGTCAATGTAACCGTAAGAAATGTTTCGAATATTCAATTTTCATTCTGTACAGGGTCTTTTAAAAAAAAAATAAATGGCGGTGTGATTTGACAAAAACTTTCAACTTAATATTTTCTCTGTCTCTAAAGTAACAGCTATAATAAAAATATAAAATATAAATAAATAGAAGATTTATGAGACAAATTTGTAATTTCAGTTGTTAAACTTTCATTCACATCAAATGTTTAAAATTCGTCTGCACAAAAGACATTACTTACTTTACTTTATGGAAAATAACTATAGCTATTTTTTTATAAATATGCAACCATGTATTATCAAAATGGATAAAGGTATTTTCATTTATCAGATTTGGAAGAAATATTTCTTGTGTGTGAGACATTTTGTATTGTATTTTATTTAAAACTGTGGTTAGTATTTGTTTTTTGAACACTGTTTTTTTTTTTAAAGAAGAAACTGTCGAACTATTATTGTTCAGTTCATGGTTGCTCTTCATGGTCCAAGAAAAATCCAGAATTAAGTTTTCATCAAACCATTGAGGATATTTTCAAAATATTATTGATAGACAATACTGCCTGAATTACATGAGGGTTGTTAGTAAGGGCGCTACTCGCTAGTTTAAATTTAAATCACTTTGCCCAATTTTCCCACTTAGTACTACATGACAAGCGTTATAATTTAAGAAATAAAACGCCCAGCTGGTTTATTACAATCTACAGTAGGTACATACCCACGTTATCATGGACAATTATTATTAAATGCCTACGAGGCATTTAACAGACGTGGTACCCGTTTCAATAGCAGCACACCAGGGAATCAAATAGAAAGGTATTAAATATTTAGCTCCAATAATTTACGGAGCAGACACGATATTATTAACTAAATAACTTAATAGAAGGTGACGCTAGCAAGGCGAACTTTCCTGATAATCGTGAATAGCGGCAATTAACAACATACTGACTCGCATTAATTAGCGAATTGAATTATTAGCCCATTTGGAAATTCCTAACTGGATTACATTCAAAGCCTCTTCATCGTTCCGAAATAAAGCTTTGGTGTTGTTCAAGATTTTCAACTGATGCACATAACAAACGTTTTGTTGAATGTGTTGTTTGTTTAACTCTTTAGTTATATTAACTTTATAGTACGGTCAAATTTATATGTAACTACTTAGTTGATACAGTAAACCAATTAAAATTATGTCACTTATCGAACCTCAAAAATGTTACAGGAAGTGATAGGTAAAGATAGTGGTCCGAGAGTAAATGGTACATTCCAGGTGTGTACTGTTTTGACATGACATTATGAAAAATAAAATTTCTCACAGAAGAACAATCTTAAACACAAAAAAGATCTATAAGAAAAATTATTACTTATTTTATCTGTTTATTCGCGTTGTGCGCTATACGCAATGCGCTGTCTCTCCACGTGGTTCCAGCTGATTCCGTATAGTGTTTACATTAGTTTTTTAAGTGTCAAAATAGTGTATAGCAACTCGGAGTTGATGGAGATCGTTTTAATATATGGTAAAGCAAGACAACATTTGTGTTATGGTTATTCTATTTTTCATTTGAACATCCGAGGGTGCATAAAATAGAAAATAAAGAAATCAAAAATTTAACTTTTTTTTTAATTTCTACTGATAAACAGTTCCAGTATGGATAAAACAATTATTATAAAGCGGAAAAAGGTTTTTGTATGCATTTTCTATTTATGTAGAAAATCTAAATAAATGATCAAAAATTAAAACTAAGTTGCATGAACTTTAAGCAACTTAAATAACTATGTCATTATCTAAAAATAGTCTGAAATCTGAAAAATTACTTTTTATTACCCAATAAGATTAATTAAAATTTATTAGAATTTATAAACAAAGGGTGCTCCTTTGTCTATAACTCTGAAATCTTAATTAATATTTCTTATGGCATCATCAACATCATTTCTGTTGTGCGATAAATACAGTTGCGGATCATCAGCATACACATGCGAATTACAATAATTTAGCTCCCTACAAAAATTCTTGGTATAAAAACAAAAATCAACAATGGTCCTAATATTAAACTCTGAATACCTTAATTTGAAAGTTGATTTCCTCTTTTGACATTTTGAATACATAGATAATATGCCATATCTTCTTTGATTACGTGATAAATTCAAAAAATTATATAAGTGAATATTGTATTGCATAGCTTTCTTCTGAGTAAGGTATTTCAAACTATGGCTTAAGACGTTTTTGACATAGTGTTGGTGGTGCTTTTCTATTATTTTTAATAAAGCACTCCAGCATATCACATTCTT